CTATTCCCAAAAGACACTTCCATCTCTCCTGATCTATAGTTAATGCATGCATTTGTCGTTGCTAGAAAAGGTCTCCCTAAAATAATCGGTGGCATACTTCCACTACTCGTATACTTCATGTCTAAGACAAGAAAATCCACCGAAAAATATAGTTCCTCAACCTTAACTAACACGTCCTAAATTAGGCCCCTAGGCATTTTGATCGATTGGTCAACTAACTGTAGGATGACTTCAATAGACTTGAGCTCACCTAAGTTAAACTGTTCATACACGGAAGTGGGTAATAAGTTCACGCTCGCCCCTAAGTCTAAGAGTGCTCTATCAATCGTGACATTACCTATCACACAAGAAATAATAGGAGCTCCTGGATCCTTTAACTTCGGGGGAATGCGGTTTGAGACAACCGCACTTACATTTTTCGATAAATGTACAGTCTTAGGTGTGTGAGATTTCATTTGCCTTTTTTGTGTGTACAAGTCTTTGAGGAATTTGGCATACGCAGGTACTTGCTTAATGGCATCTAAGAGTAGAATGTTAATATGTACCTGCTTAAACAACTCAATCATTTCCTCAATCCTAGCACTTTTCCTAGTAGTGAGAACATTTGGGGGCTCTAAGCACTGAGGAAAGGGTGCTCTCGGTATGTACGATGCAGGGGATGGTTCATTCTCCCCAACTTTCTCCTTACCTGGTCTCTGAACACTTGACTCTACAAGTGGCTCAACCTCACTCTTTTTGGCTTGATCCCTACCTAGACTCTCCTCTTCTCTACCTTGGACTTTTACTTCCCTCTTAGGCCTAATTAGCTCTCGGCCGCTCCGAAGAGTCATCACAGCCTTAGCTTGTTCGAAAAACCCTCTCTGTTTATAAGAACCACTAGGGTTACCTATGACTTGACTAGACAATTGGCCTTGTTCCCTCCTATTGACTACTTCGGCTATTTGACTAATCTAGGTCTCTAACTTACTAATGGATTGGGAATGAGAATGTAGAAGTTGGGTATTCTGCTCTAAATCCTGAAACCTAGCATTCATGTCGGCTTTTTGTTGCTACATGGTTTGGAGCATTTGAGCCATCATTGATTCTAGTGAACTAGACACTAGAGTAGGCTGCTGAATGGGAGGTGGGATCCTAGGTTGGATGGGTGGTTGGATTGAAGGTTGCTCCCTATAATTGCCTTGCTGATTGGAAGAATTGTTCCTGTATGGCATATTATTAGGGACATTCTGAGGTGGTTGTGGCTTCCATGAAAAATTAGGGTGGTTACGCCACCCAGGATTGTATGTGTTCGAGTACAGATCGTTCCGTCTTTGGAAGCCTTGTGCAACCTGCACTTGCTCCTCAAAAGAGTCAAGGGCAAGTTCCTCAACTGGATGGTCAAGAGTGGAGTGCATGGAAAAAACATCCTGGTTCGCCTTCTGAGATGATTATGTAGAGGGTTGCCCTTGTATAGATACAAACTGGTCAAATCGGTGGGCCAACACCTCTAACTTGGAACTAATGTCATCTAACCGTGACACCTCATACACGCCACCCTTCTTGGATGGATGCCCTGAGATAGGCATTCTAGACGCAGAAATGTGGTGCATTGAATTTTCACTTAAGGTCTCGAAGAGTTGCCATAACTCATTCTCGTCCTTGTGCATAAATGTTCCTCCACAAGAGGCGTCTACCATATTTCTATGTCTCTCGGTCAGTCCGTCATAGAAACTACGAACTAATTGCCACCTAGGGACTGCATGATGGGGACACTTCCTAAGTATTTCCTTCAAACGTTCCCAACTCTCATAAAATTCCTCGCCATCAAGTTGAGCGAAACTAGTAATGGCTCGTCGTATGCTGTTGGTTTTACCAATAGGATAATACTTTTTTAGGAATCCTTATTGCATTTGGGTCCAAGAGATAATGGACCCTGCTACCAAAGAATTGAGCCACTGTTTGGCTCGATCCTTAAGTGAAAATGGGAACAAAATTAAGCGCACGACATCTTCATTCACATGTTGAAGTCTAACTGTGGAGCAAACCTCTAAAAATTCATCTAAGTGTTTGTATGGCTCCTCATTTAAATTCCCATAATAAATTGGCAACAATTGGATGACACTAGTTTTGATCTCATAGTGTTGTGTCTGGACATTGGGGATACGGATACATGAGGCTGAAGTGTAGGTGGTGGGTGCGAAATGTTGGCTAAGGGGCAAATGTGCGGGTTCATCATAGTCAGCCATCCTACGTGCTTGTTTTCTATTCCTCTTACAAGTGAATTCAATTTCAAGATTCAAAGGTAATAATTCTTCATTACAAGACCTTCTAGTTTGCATTCACCAACCAAACACACAAAAGGCTCAACAAGAAACGCAGCAATAATCTCAAAGAAAATTAACTAAATGCAAAACCTAAGAAACAAATTTTACTAAGCACATGAAACAAAACTAAAACAAATCTAAAATCTAACGAAACTATACCCAACAAAATTTCACACAACAAATATGTTTAATCAAAACTAAATTTATCAATGCAACCTAAAGAATTTAATACTAAGAACAAAAATTAAATCCTAGGAATAAAAAATCAAAGGTTAAGAGAATTTCACAATCGGGTCATGCAAGATCTTTACTGCTCACGACACGTTGAAGCGTTTTCCCAATTGTAATTTTCATACAAAACAAAAACAAACACAAATGAAACTATTCCAATGAAAATAAAATAAAATGAAGTAAAAATGAAATTACGCAAACAACCTAAAAAGAAAATAATTAACCAACAATGCAAAGAGACAAACTAAACAGAACACAAAAATTAAACAATTCACCCAAACAAATAATCACAATAAAGAAAATAATACAAACAAAACAACAAAGACTAAAATAAACCTAGAATAAAAACTAATGACTACCTAAACAGACGAAGTCGAAAGCACGTTGCTCCCTGGCAACGGTGTCAAATTTTTTTTGAACCGGTCATCACAGTTACAAAATTAAACCTAAATACCGTAGTTAGCAGTAAGTAGGATCGAATCCACAAGGAGCAAGACTAACAACCTAATGTATTTTGAGTAGCGGGAATGAGATTGACGATTCGATTAATTAAACTAAACAAACTAAATATAAATAAAAAACGTGAAATTAAAACTAATAAAGACTTTATAATAAAAATGTTGCCGTTACGGTTTTGGTTTGACACGAGACCGACTCACACAATTCTCTTCCACCCTCTACGATCCCTTAAACTTACAAGGCAAGGTAAATCAATGAAATGGCTTCCCGACACTCTAGGTATAATCTATCCTGTCTCACCCGATCACTCAATTTCGATTGGTTAAAGACTATCATTGAACGCCGATAAACACTACAAGGTAATACCACTAGTTGGTACGCAATTAACAAATACAATTAGTCAACACGTATATTCCAATCAACCAACTTCACAATAAACGCAACAACAGTAGAAATTAAATTAAATTCGAACACAACTCAATTACAATCGATGCGAAGTAATGAAAAGCAATATTCATCATTTAATTATTTCAAACCAACGTTTATCATTCAGCAAGTTCTTTGAAAACATTAAATCATAATGGACAACAATATTCATCACAAGTTATGCTCAAATCATATTAAAGTATCAAAATCAAACATGAAACGAAAACAAATATAATCGAAGCACAATACTATCAAATGTCCTATAATCGGGCTCATCCAACTAGTCGAGAGCTAATGAGGAGAGTCGTGGAGTCAATCTTGATCTCGCCTATGTCGTAACAGACAACCGGGAACTTAGCCACTCATGGTGGTGATGACGGAAGTTGAAACGGTGGAAACGAAGCTGATCATGGCGGAGAGGAGGTAATCGACAACGATATGATATGAAGAAGGGGCGAAAACGACCAACGGACAGCCTGGAATACGAACAGCCACACTCGCCGGAAAATGTTAATTTTTCGACGGGTCTTCCGGAAAATGGTGGCAGAAATGGGATCCGAAGGTACCGATGGAAAGCTTTAGTGATGGGGAGTTCAAATTAGGTCTTAGGGAGGTGAAAAGTCGCCAGAATTGAGCAAGATCTGCGCTGGAAGATGAAGAGTCGCAGTGGCTAGATGGCGGATTTCGACGGTTTTTTCGGCAGCTGAAGCTTGGGATGTGTAGATCCGACCGTGGGGAAGGGAGATCAAGTCTTGGGGAGCCGAAATGTCGCCAGAAAAAGGCAAAATCTGGCCTGGAAGGCGAAAAGTCGTGGTGGTGGAAGACGAAACGTCGCGGCGTTTCGCGTGATTTACGGTGGCAGTTTGCAGTGGTTTTGGTGGCTGATGAAGATCGGTGCACGGGGAGATGGATCGTCATCAGAAGCCACCAGAAAAGAAACTAAGGAGTAGCCAGAAAAGATGGATGAACAGCCCCTTGTACGCGACCTTTCATTTTCATTTTATAGACAATCTATAAAATATCGCTTTGGTCCCTACATGATTGAAAATTGACAAAATCAACCCTTGTAAATATGACAGTTTACCCCCTAAACAACATAAATGAGACAAAATCACCCCTAATCCATAAACCACAACCTAATATCAACTCATATCCTTTCCAAAATCATTCCAAACATGTTAAATTCATAAGAAAAATATTAGGAAATGATTTTCGTGAATAAATTCATAAATTTTTTAATTGTCTCAATATACTTCAATTTAATCACACTTGGGGTATTTTTATCACCAAAATAGAGTCACTTTCATGACTCTAACAACAATGCATCAATTCCTGAGGTTGAAACAGTAAGTACACTTTTGCCTTCAGATCGTAACTTGCTTATTATTGTTGACCGTAGGAATGCCTTGCTTGCTCCATCGTGACCATAAACCGAAAAAGTTGTACCTTTTTTATCTTCAACTGAATCCATAATTGAATGATAGAAATTCTTTGCCCATCGTTAAGACCATCATACAAATCATCGTGCAATGTTATATTGCTAGCAATGTCATAACTCATCTCCTCAACAATCATTCTATTCTATGTACTCTCGAATTCAGAACGATTTGGAATCGGAATTCCATGGAAATCAACCATTGTTTTCCCTCCCTTTTTAATCAAGTCTTCAATTTCAATCAATGCATGATTTTGCAGTTGTTCATCACTGAATCTAACTGTTTGCATTCTCGTTTGCTGTTTCAGAATATATGACATATCTTCAAATAACTTAACCGCATTTTTTTTCCACAAATCTACAGGACTAACAACTTCATTGAATAATAGAATTGTTACAATAGCTATCGTAAACGACTTCCAGAAACCCACACTGACGCTTCGTTTAGACAATCATTCCATTATTTATCATCATCCATTAGACCTGAAGCATAACATGCATCTTTGAATGTAGGATGTATTTCTCCATTTACAGTTCTAATATCTGCAAATGATGTTGCTCCTTTAACTAAATTTAGGAGCATTAGCAAATAATATTTCTCGCCAGTATCTGGAAATGCAAAGTAGATTCTGCCAATACATTTTTCATTTTTTCTTTTCATCCATTTTCTTTCTGTATCATTCCAAACCAATTTAGTTGGAAAATCATAATACGTCAATGATCTTGCTTGAGGGTTTTCTTCTTTGCATTTCATCCACTCTGTTAATTTAGTCTGTGTAACAGCTTTACTTTCTAAATATGTTAATAAACACTTATCTGGATTGAAGATTATTGTTTGTTCATTCTCCAGGTGGAATGGTAATCTCTCAACTGCAGGTTCTCTGTAACAGATATCAAATTGAAATATCTTCTAGCAAGATTCCATAGCAGATATGTATCTGTAATTTGAATATCAAATTCGTTAATGTTATAATTATAATAAATAATAACAAATGATACTATGAGATTATATGTTATTTGTTTGCATATACCTGCAATCAAGATAAGCTTTGATTTCGTCCACCATTCCACTGTTAGTAGATTCAGAACTCGCTCCACTATCCTTATTAGACTGTTTAGAAACTGTTATTCTATCAGGCCCTTTGTTGATGTATTTGAACAAATATTTGATTGACCTGTGTTGATTATAGATCTCGATATTAAGGTGGGCATCAAACTTTATCAATAAATTCGTATTGTAAGGAACAACAAAAAGATTATTCAATTTGACTAATTTTTTCTCAATAAATACGCCAGTATCCCGCCTTCTATGTAGTGGGTATCCTTCATCATCGACAATTGTAGTTTTAACAAACTTCTTTGGAAAATGGTTTTGACATTTTCCTTTCTGCATGCATGGGGATTTTTTATTCGCATCACCACATGGGCCATGGATCATGTAGTTTTCGACAGCAGCAAAAGCAAGAGGATCGCTTTCTTTATCAGGTATTTCAGCATATACCATATTATCTATTTTTGATACCGGAGGATTCTTGTACTTGGGAGCCAGAAAAAGCAATATATGTGCATGTAGAAGTCCTCTTTTCTGGAACTCAACTGCTTAGACAACTGGAAAAAAGAATATGATATTATTAATATTCGTTAACATACATTAATCGCATATGATATATAATTAATAAAGCAGTTATATTTAAAAGAATGTATATATTATTCATCAGAGTACTTTCTTGCTTCAATCTCACCAAAATATTTCACCAAAATATTTCTTGTGTTTTATTTCTCTCATCAATTCAAGTAATTTTATTTCAAACACTCTGCACATAGCAGTTACTTTACCTTCTTCATCACAATGCCAAATAGCATTTTGTATAAATTGAATTTCTGGCCATTTTGGATTACATGTGAATGTCAAGAAAATATCAGGATATCCAGAAGTCCTGCAAATTGCCATAGCCTCTTGATAATTTCAAACACGATATCGAGGACCGCCGGCATGAGAAGATGGTAACAATGTAGATTTGCCTATATGTTGTGAATTCACATCTCCATTTGAAACAACATCCATCAATCCACTGTACAAATCCCTCCTTAATTTTTTTTTTTTTTTTTTTTTGATTATTTCTAATCCAACGAAGTCTTTCTTCTTCGATAGCCATATATGCATCTACAATATATTGTTGCAACAATCTGCCAGATTTCATCAGAGTGTGACCTTCATTTACTCTATATTATAATCGAACTGCATAAAATTGACACATTGTTAACCTGTTTCTCTTAAGAGGTTTTTTGTTCTCCATAACTCTATGATCAATGTCAATTATGTATCCATCTTCCCCATATGGGAATAAAATTGGATAACTTCATGCCATAAAACTTGGATGTAAATCAGTAAGTCTTTGAAGACCTTCTTTGAAATGGTAAACAATAACATCTTTTCCACGTTCAGATAGTCCAATATCACCAACTATTAGACTTGCAATTTCAGATGCAGTTGGCAGATTGTATTGTCTTCCATCTCTTTCTCTATGGATTTTTAATTGCAATTGCAATTCTTGAACATTGTTTGAATGAATAGCGTCCCTGGCAAACCAAAAAAATTTAACCAATTCATTGTTCATGTCTAGCATTAATTGCAATTCTTGCATCAAATCATTGTCAATGGAACCTTCATCTAGATAATCTTTCATACAATTCAATCTGTGACTGGTTTCACATTGTGTGTCGTATATATAGAGTTGTACAAACGTAGGTTTCCTTCTGGTAGATGGAAGCAACGATCCTATATGATGGTAATTCTGTCCGCAAAGTCTAAAAAAAAATGCACCACTCCCTTTGTTGATGTCACGATCAATTGTCCTGCCCATTGAAGTAAATGAGAGTACTGAATTATACATTCTTATTTTGTAACTGAATTTAACTCCTTTCGATCCAATGGCTATATCTAATAATCCTTTCAATGGTTTAGGACTTTAGGTGGTTCTTTCAACAGGGGCATTTGAACTTTGCCATCCATACAACATAACGAAAATGCAGGAGAGACTGGTTTTTTGCTCTTAATAGTACGCTCTTCATGCCACAAAATTGCTCCACAATATTTGCAAATGTACGATGGTTCACCAAAGTTCAATGGCTTTGCATTTGCTGGACACACAAAAAAACAGTTTCAATTATAAGAAGATAATAACTTTGCTTGAAAAAAATAAAAAATAAATTCGATGATAGTTATAAAACTCACGATCGTATTTTTCTGATGGAGTAATGTCCACATTAGATTTTTCTTTTTTTGCGTTCATTAACAGCTGCAAATTATTTATATATATTAATGAGATAAATATTATCATAATCAAAACATTGTAAATATTTGCAAAAATTTGTAAAACTCACATTGTTTTTTTTGACGGAGTGACCTTCTCTGTACCTTTTTGTTTTTTAGATAAGTTAAGAGCTGCAAATCATAAACGTAATAATTAGATAAATATCAAGATCATTAAAATATTGTAATAATTCTAAAACGTCAATTTTCTTACCACTTAGTTTTTGTAATTCAACCATTCTTGATACCCTATTCTCTTTGAATTTTTGCTTTTCCATATATCAGCTGGAATTCAAAATAATAACAATAATATTGTCAGATTGCTATAAAACAAATAAACTTATTCCACGATTTTATTAGAGCTATGTTAGCAATATGTAAATCATTGCCACTAAAGATGTATTGCAAATTCTTTGTACACAAAATAATTAACAAATATTTATTTCTTGTATTAAGTGAATTTAAAAAAAGCACAATTACCTAGATTTTCAAGTACATCATGCAATGCATTGGTCTAGTTTTCAGAAGTGCCTTCATAAGATGTATTGCAAATTCTTTGTACATAAAATAATTAACAAATATTTATTTATCGTATTAAATGAATTTAAAAAAGCACAATTACCTTGATTTTCAAGTACATCATGCAATACATTGCTCTGGTTCTCAGAAGTGCCTTCACCACAGTGATATTTTTTCAAAGGAGTAAGCAAATCAAAAGCTACAAACTGTGAATATATTAATTGGATAAATAATATTGTAATTATTTGAAATGAAAATACCCATTACATCTCTTTCTTTTTAATTCAGACATTCTGTATGTCATATTCTCTTTGTTTTTTTTTTTTTTTTTTTTTCCTTCTTCAACATTTGATCTGGTATTGAAAATAATATTAATAACATTGTCAGCATATCATAAAACAAACAACTTATTCTTGCAAATACTTCATACAGCAAATAATTAACAAATATATATCTATTGCATTAACTCAATTTAAATGTATATTATTCAATAACAGCTATGTATAATCTAGATTTTTTCTGGTAGTTCAAATGGCGAACAATTGTAATTGGAAATTGTTCAGCACAAGCTTATCTAACTGTGCAAACTTAAGTTACAAAGAAATGAATCGTTCGCTATAGTTCGACACGATTCTTCTTATAATGGAGTAACAACATTAGTTGTTCGACACTACATTGTTAATAGTTTATTATCATTGTGATAATCAGAATTAAAGTTATTGTTTGGTATAGTTAATACTAATTACATAGGATATACCTTAAAATAGGATATAAATGACGACTACATATATAGCAAGTAATGAACAAATTCATATTAAAGTATTAATGTTTTCAAATACATGTTAATTTATATTAACACATCCATAATATTTCATTAATTCACAACAAAGTAAAGAACTAAACAAAGAAAAGTAATTGATTTACAACAAACGAATCTGTATGATAAATACAATAAAATTTCTTAACGAAATTGCATTACCTTTATTAATAACTATACTGCAAGATTGAAGATTGTACAAATACGATCAGTATGAACTATATATCGAGCATTACAGAAATTGCAGATGGATTTGTGTATGTTTATCAATATTAAAACTCAAAAAGAATAATTAGCATATAATTAAAAAAACTAATGAATAAGTTGTATAAAATATACTCAAATTACCAGATATTGAGGTGGATTCAATCGAAGAAATGGTTTTTCATAGATTACAAATTAACTGATCTAAGTTTCGGAATATTAAAAGTTACAAAGAAGTTTCCCAAATTTTTTTGAAGAATAGCTTCGAAGATATTGGGCATTGATTGATCTGTATTTTTGAATATTAAAAGCCAGAAAGATTAATATGGTTATAAAAGTTTTTGCAAATATTTATTGCACTATATAGCAATCCGTTAATATTCTTCTGCACAAAAAATATAACTTTTTTATTTAAAACACACAATTCATTTATAACAATAGAAGACTTGACGGATGCAATGTATCAAACTATTTATCTTGTAATAAATATCTATCGGCGTTAATAAAGTAAGTTTAAAACATACATATGATAACATGAAATTTACTATATATTGGATTTAATTTACATGTGGTTTGAACTGGTCCTGTCAATTCACATAGATTGTATCTAGATATAAGTAATGACCTTGATTTACCAGAATATAATATAAGCATTAATAAAGTAACTTTAAAATATACATACGATAACATGAAATTTACTATATATTGGATTTAAATTACATGTGGTTTGAACTGGGTCCCGTCAATTCACATAGATTGTATCTAGATATAAATAATGACCTTGATTTACCATAATATAAAATATTAATTTTGTACAAACAGTTGAGAATTTTTTTTTTAACAATAAACGTATTCCAAGACAAATAGTTTGATATTATTATTTAATTAAAATGTACATATTCTGAAAACAAAAGAAAAAACATAATTAATCAACGAATCTTTAAATTTTTTAAACTAGGCTATTATTTAATGGCCGAACGACATGCACCTACCTATAGTTTGCCATAACGACAATGTGATACCCAAAAGGTTTGAAAATGACAATTACCCACTTTCTGTCCATCTCTATTAATAAAATCTGTTTAAGTAAAGGCAATATAGTAATTTTATACCCATTAATTTTAAATTAATCAATAAATCCCTAAATTTTTTTTATCGTAGTTTTTTATTTCATTTTTCTCTTCTCTTTCCCATCTTCTTCTTCATCTCTCCCTTCTCTTTCTTTCTTTTCCTCCATCTTTTCCCTCCTCCCCTTCTCTTTTTTTACTTTTCTTCTCCGTCTTTTCCCTTCTCTTTCTTCCCTTTCTTCTCCAGTTCTCCCTCTTTTCCCTCCTCCCCTTCTCTTTTTTCCTTTTCTTCTCCCTCTTTTCCCTTCTCTTTCTTTCCTTTCTTCTCCATCTTTTCCCTCCTCTCGTTCTTTTTTTTCCTTGTCTTCTGTCTTTTCCCTTTCCCCTTCTCTTTTTAACTTTTCTTCTCCCTCTTTTCCTTTGGTCGCTAGGCAAGAACCCGTCTTTTCCTCCAGTTTTTAAATTTTTTCAAATTTTTATAATTTTTCACAGTTTGGGTTGGAATGTCTGAACTTGTGGTGGTTTGTGCGGTGGTGATGGGGATGGTTGTATTTGGTGGTTTTCCTCTTCAGTTTTTTAATTTT